AAGTGGATTAAGCAAGAGTAATGGTGTTTCCTTTTAAGAACTTTCACCCAACAATTTTTTCTCGACTTTTCTATTTATTTATTTTTCAACACTTTCTATTTTTGTATCATTTTATTATTATTATTTATTTATTTATATTTTTTTATTTTGGGCTTTTATAATTTTAAGAAAACAACCTCGCACTTAAACTTTTCTCCCCTTCCCAAAATAATTCCAAAGTTTCTCATTCTCATGGTTAGGTGATAAACGATTTTTCTGATATTTATGGATTGTAATGTTGGTAAAAACAAAAAAAAGTGGTTAATAAGCTCAAATATGGGTGCAATGGAAAAATTATTAAGGGTGAGGCTTTATTTGGCTAGTAGTTAAAAATGAAAAAATGGTCTAAATCATATCAATAGTGCAATTAAATTCAATGGTGCCAAAAAGAATGAGAACAAGTATGTGGTCCTATACTAGCATTATATGTTGGCTGAATAGTTTACTGACCACTTTGACCTCTTTTGTCCTGAACAATTTCACTTCCACTCATTAGTATTTATTACAATACTCGGTATTACTCTCGAGTTTTATACTAAAGTTTATTACTTCTTATTTGTCATTATAACTCTACCACTTCTTAAATTCATAGACTATAGTGTAAATTGTCTCACTCAGCATGCAAATTTATTTCTAGTGTAAATAATTTGCTGTTCATATAATTAATTTCGTTACGCTATGAATTACTTAAACACCATGTGGGTTCTTTAATCACATTCAAAATTTAATACACAGAAAATTTCAATCACATATTATTCATATTCAAACTTTATACTTAATATAATATGAAACATTTAGAATAACTTGCAAGAATAATAAAGAATTATAAAAATAAATTGTAAAAAATTTAATTGAAAATGTTTGTTCCTAGTTCGCAACATTTTTCAAAATATAAGTCATACAATCTTTGATACCTTTATTTTATTCTCTCTCTCTCTCTTTCTCTCTCTCTCTCTCTCTCTCTCTCTCTATATATATATATATATATATATATATATATATATATATATATATATGTGTGTCTTTGTGTTTTTTAACCACTTAAAGCAATCATAAAAATAATAAAATAATATAAAAATTATAATTTCAATTTAGAATCTTCAAACGGTTATCTTCTTTGCATATTCCAATGAACTTGTCTCTTAACCGCCTTCATCAGTTTTTCGATGAACTATTTGAAGATCCTTCAAGTATAATTTCCTCTCGATATATCTCGTGTCGATATTCTTCACTCTTTAATTCCTCGATTCTTAATTTATCGATATTCGATCTTTTTTTAAAATTCAACATTAATCACTCTTCTGTCTCGATAATATGTCTTTCTCAATTATTACATTCATTCCTTCAAAATCATTTGATATTCTTTTTTCTCTATTCATTCTTTCAATTTTTTTTTAATTTTAAATTTAACAAATTACAAAATAGAGATCATTCGAACAAATTATAAATATTTCAGGAGGCAAGAATAACATATTTTACTTTATTTATCAATAAAAAAAATAGTATCGACATACTATATAATGTAGTATTTCTAAACTTAAATATAAAAAAAATGCCTTACCTATATATTCTTAAATTTAGAAAAAAAATAAAAATCTATCATGTTTATTGGAATAGTATCGTTAAATATATAAATGAATTCACTAATAATATATTATTTTAGTTCAACTTAATTATTACTCGTCAGGGCGTTTATTTAATTAAATAAATAAATTTAAGCTTAAGATTCGAGTGGATATTTAAACGGGTCAAATCCAATACTTTTATAAATACTAGAAGGTTTTTTCATTGAAAAAAAAAACAAATATACTTAAGATAATAAACGGGTTCATTTAGCCCAACCCACAAAAATGGGTTGTCGAGATTTCCGCTGATGAAAAAACGTGTTTGGTCTGTACCGTACGTACACAAATAAATCATGAAAGTGTAAAAAAATTAAAAAAAAAAGGAAAAAATATTATTTACTATATAAATCTAATTTAAATAAACAATTTTTTATTAAAAATGTAATATATATAAAAAATTTAATCTAAAATTTATTTGAATATTAATTTTATTAACATTAAAGAATTAAATTTATAAAATATATTAACAATACAATAAACATATATTTAAATTTTTAAAATTATTTTACAAAAAAAAAATAACTGGTAAGTATTATTTTGAAAATCAAATCAGTCAATCCGACGGATTCAATAAAAAATTGGCCTACAAATTAGTTTACTACTCCTAAATAATAAGATTTTAATTAAATTTATATAAATCTAAAATAATCAAAATAAAATTGATAAAATTAACTAAATTTTGAATCTTTAATAAATAAAATATTAATATATTTTTTTTATAAAATATATAATATTTTTATTTTTTTATTTTATATTTTAAATTTTAAATTTTTTATCTTATATAAATTTTATAAATTTTAAATAATAATTATCTTATTATATTTTTATTTTATTTTAATTAGCACATGTCTTATATTTTTTTAATATATTGTTTATTTTATTTTAAATAATAATTTTATTATTCATTTTATTTATATTTATATTTATACTTTTTATTATAATTTATGGTGTTTAAAATAATAATCTTTATTATTTTTTCTTTTATAAAAAAATTATTATTAATAAATTTATTATACTATAAATTTATTATTTAATTAAATCGGATTAAATTCTTATCAACATTTAAATTCTACACTGATATTTTCATCTGCTTGAATCTAAAAGCATTGCTGGTAAAATTATAAAATATTTTTCTTATGCATGTTGTTGTCATTAATTAAAATAGGAGTGAGTCTATATGAAATAGAATAAAAAAATTTATACACTATGTATAAAATTCTAATAGTTACGTACCTTGTAATGGATGCATTTATATTATACCTGTATAAAATACTATTACCTTTTTATAACTACTTTCTCAAGTAGTTACATATAATTACTACTTCTTTATATTGGAGTTGATATTGGAATTGAAATATTAGAGTTTATCATCAATGTTTTCAAGCAACATAGAGATCTTCTATATCCGTTGCAAAATAGAATTATAGACTCTTAATATTTAGTGTCATTTTTATTTTAATATTTTTTATGAATTAAAATATTATAAATATAAAATATAGAATCTTACATACACCTACATTTTAATCACATCTCAGTCAAATTAATAGAATATTCTCCTATACAAGGAGAAGATAATATTGTTTGAACATGATGTCTTTCCTTGGAAGAAATTTTACATAAGTATAAAATAATTAGAAGTATCTCTCATTTGAGTTGTATTCTAAAACTTAAGTTATATATTCATCACATAAACTTCGTCACTCAAGTTTTAGATTTTGGAGACATTTGATTTCAGTATATATTGAGTTAGGATATCTAACTCTTTACTGAACCAATAATACTGTTCAAAATTATTCAAACCCAGTAATTAAATATACCAAGTAAACTAATCATACATGCATGTGACCATGGGAAGAAGAGAGTAACTAAAAAAATGGAACGATTTACCAAAAACAATTATTGGGATTGATGGTACAAGTTTTCTTCTAGCCAACTCCAAACTTAAAAACACCTGTTAGAGAGATACTCTTTTGTTTTTTCTAAAAAAAAGAGCAGATATTTTATATAGAAAAAAGATAATTGAGAACCATCTTCTCACCTTTCTATTTATGATCTTGAAACATCTTAAATATAAGTATCATGTTTCGTATAAATCTAAAACTCTCAACGTATACTTAAAACACATATTTTAAGTTACTTAAATATTTTTGTTTTTTAACTATTAATATATTAAGTAATTGTTATTTTATTATTTTGAATTTTCTATATATATTCATTAATTAATTTATTTATTCAATGTATATTTAAAAAAAAAACTTGATTTTGATAAGAAAATATTTATCTCATACCTCCTTCGTGTATAATGTAAAATAAATTAATTTTATGTACAGAAAAAAGGGTGTGATGGATGTAGATTACATTAGCATTAAAATCTAACAAAAAAACTAACATTTCAGAAACTGTCCAAAAACAGCAAAATGCTTGTGAAAAACGAAAAAAAAAATAGTGAAATTGACCAAGGCCAAACATAATTAAAAGAAGAAAAAGGACATTCGACGAAAAGAGGAGGGTTATAAGAGAATTTGTTTGGAAGGACGAGGACAGGTCCTTTGGAGACGAAATCGAAGAAGGTTAAAAGCGGTGTATACATACAGAGGAAGGGAGAAGCAGACGGGATTTTAAATTTTGCTATAAATAGATTAAAATCGATAATTTTTCAGAATAAGAACTATAACTATAGAGACAAAATTATTTATACATAATTATTAGTTAATAATTACAAAATGATAGGTTAATAACAGATTTTTCCTTTTTTTTTTTTCACATCATAAAGATCACATAGTTTGTTTCACACCTCAAAATTCCATTATCCCAATTTCTTGGTAGCCCCAAAGCCACTCTACACATAGAGCCATCGTCATACCGTTTACTTGCTTCTTGGATTCATATTTAATGTTCACATAAGAGATGAAAAAACACTATAACAAGTTAAAGGAATACAGGTAGTAGCAATTAAGTTTCTTCGTTAAAACTTCGAAACCATTTGACACCACCACATCATATAAAATACTCGTATATCTAAGAGCATGATATATATTTTTTTAAAATAATAATCCCGAAAAATGAGCCATTTGGGAGAGAGGATCCCACAAGCAACGAACTTCTCTATACGTATTACCATATACAGCTTCATGAACAAAAATTCCTTTTAGAGGGGATCTCTTCTCTCTCGACCCTTCTTCGTGGAAAGAAAGTAATCTCGGAACTTCACTTCTACCTTCCTTTTCTTCATTTTTTTTCCTTTTCCTTTTTCTTCTCAGAGAACGTTGAAGCGGTTTAATTGTTTTTTTTTTTTCTTTTTTTCCTTTTAGTATCCTATTACCATACAAGTTTCATCTAAGCGGCAGCAACCGTCCCTGCACGAAAGGAGTAATCTTGGGCCTTGTTTGGGGAGACAGATTTTCTTTGCTCCTTTTTTCTCAAAGCCTTCATAGAAGAAGAGAGGTTCTTATTCTTCTCCTTCGCTTCGTCTCTCTCTATTTGCTCTTGTCTACACTCTTCGCTACAAAAAGGCGTGTCCCCTCTGCAATACAATTCACACCCCGTCAGTGCCACGTCATAGAGATCGAACAAAATTCACATTTTCACATAGACACCACAGTCAATCAAAAGTTCAGAATCAAACCTAATGAAGAGTATTTAAAAAAGGAAAAATCTTCATTTTTTATCGGATCGTAACAAGAAAAAAAAATGCCCTAGGACATGTCAATATTGAATCTTAATCTCAGCAATGTAAAAGATGAATCGTTACAATTTCTCAGCATCACAATTCTCAAGACCCAAACTGTACCAGACATGCGATCGAGATTTTCAATTTACCATAAATTCATGACACTCAATTGCATGTCAGTCAATAAAGATTGGTTATGATTCTTAAATCTAAAGCTTCAATTACCGTCTCTACATTCCTGAGAAAGGAAAACAGGCGACAATCGAAAGGAATCTGCTTTTTATTTTTATTTTTTCTGAGAAATTGGAGGTGTAAGAAAATTGAGGGCATCTAACCTGTACATGAAGATATCTCGATTATCCCCGAGTGGCTTCTTGCAAAGAAAACAAGCTTCAAGAAAGTGGGGTTGGTGATCTTCTAATCTGGCATCATAAAATCTCCCAGATCTTGAAGAAAGAATCGAGGGGCTTCTGAAACCTCGGTTGTAGAAAGTGCCGTAACCCAATGTTCTAGACACAAAGCCATGGTGGGGGTGATGGAAATGGTTGTGGCCAGAATAGCCAGGCTCCATGGAATAAGTCCAAGCATCGTGCTCTTCGGAGAAACAATGTCTCCTGGAAGAAGCAGCCATGAATTGTTTTCCCTGCTTCTCTTCGGAAAGTGAAAAGAAAATGGTTTCCTCTGGGTTTGGTTTGTGGAGGGAAGGGAGGAACACAATGACAGAGGGTGTTGTTGATTGGGGGAAAGGAGAAGGGAAAGGAGTGGTTTTATAAAGTGGTAGGTGAAGATTTTGTTATGTTCGTTGAATGCGGAAACGAGAGGGCAATAATAAACTGAGGCAAGTTATAACTTGCAATTAGAAACATGAACCCCTCCCGGTGAATCCATTGGCTCAAAATGCCTGCATCTAGCTTTTGAAAAGTAATTTTTAATATTATTAATTGGAGGGGCAGCTAAAATTACAGGCATGCCATTGAATATGGAAGAGGAGGAATTGTAATTGGACGATGAGGCTGTGGCATTTTCGTAGTTTGGAGAGAATGTGAGGGTTTGTAGGGGGATGGGAAGATCTTTTACAGTTTGTTTGCATTGTGGGAAGTGGTGGGTGGGACCCAGTTTGGACCAAACCGCACATGTCTGTCTTTTGCTTGCCAAATTGTGGTGGGGTGTAAGAAAAGTCTCGGGCCCAAACTCGCGCAGTGCGCGTAAGAGTAACGGTCACTCACACCGCCAATCTATGTCACATTTTAAGACTAAGCTTTCTAATTAAATTTCAAATATTTTTATATAATTTATTATTTAACTGTTTGTATTTAACTATTTTTAGAAATTTAAATAAATCTATAATAATTATATGTTAATAAAAAATAATTAAAATTTATGTGTGAACGTGTCCTACTTTCTTACTGTGGTTTTCTTCAACAACTAATTAATGGGACCACGGACTACCTGCCTCTCACCTTCCGTGCTGATTCAATTTCAAACCCAATTATACATGAACGCTGTAATTAATACTTCTTCCTACCAACTTTTTCCATTCATTCACATATATGATAAATAATAAAATTAATTACAAATAATAAATCATTAACTTATATCATTGTTCTAAAATTATTTTTATATATTTAGAGCTAAATCATTAAAAAAAAAGATATCTGTGAATTTTTATATAATCAAAAGAATTTGTGATTTATTTTAAGTATTTAATTAAAACAATCTTTTGAAAATGAACATTTCATTAAATTATTACAAATAAAATTTATGTTAAATAAAAAAATCTAAAATATATCTTCATAAATAGGGACCAAAAAAATTTACTCAATAAATAATTCAATTAATCCTAGGTAACCTCTCTTGTGTCACCGTGAAATCTAATTACAATAATAGATGCTTTTTTATATTTTAAAATCTTCATTTAATAATTTAACATAATAAATATAAAGACAATAAATATTTTCTTAAAAAGTTCGAAATAATAAATTCTCATAATTATAATTTTGGGAATGATTAACTTTTACTTGATTGAGGAAAATAATTATTGGAAATATTTATAAAGTTGCTTCAAAATTAAAATATAATGTCATGTTTCTATATAAAAAAAATAAACAATAATATAAAATATGTTAAGATAATTCAAATTTTTTTATATTTAAGTCTATTTAAATGACAATTTTTTTCTTGTATTTAACTTCAAATAGAATATACTTAACCTAAATAAATTAATTGTGTTATTTATATTATTATTATTATTATTATTATTATTATTATATAATTTAAGGAAATAAGTTACAAATATATTTTACATTATGTAATTGACGACTCTATACGAACATAGAAAGATAGTATATACTCTGGAGAATGGAAAAACAAGAAAGGAATTTATGTTTATTTGTGTATAAATAAATAAATAAAAAGATTCACATTTAATAAAATAAAAAAATCTGAGCAAAAATAAATAGTAACCAGGTTCTATGAAAAAAGTATCAGCTATCTGAATTTTAAATAAATTTTCATAAAAATAAAAAAATTATGCACGAAAATAATAGATTATCAAGTTTTTAGCAATGGATTGTAAGATTAAATAAATAAATAAATCTTATTTTTCTACTACTATATTCTTTATAATTTTTCATGTTTATCTTAAACAAATATTACTTAAATTTACTATGATTTCACTTTATGTCCTTCCAAATAAACTATAATGAGGGCAAAAATATATAGAAAAATAACGATAACAATATTTAAGAAAAAGTATAAGAAGTATGAAGGAAAAAATATATTAATATTCACAAAAACACGTTGTTCTACACCTATTACTTGTATAGGAGTTTATAATTTTGAAAAGCACTTTTGGTAGAATTTTATTCTTAAAGAATACAAAAAATTTTAAGCTTTATCAAAGAGTGTGATATTATATCTTCTGAATCTTATATTAAATTTATAAAAATTCAAATAATGATTATATCCTATCATTTATCTTAAATTTATTTAAGTGACAATTTTCTATTCATTATTCCACTTAATCTTTTCTATTTATTTTCTTTTGTTGTTTTTAAAATTTCTGTTACATGGAATCTGAATCAATGTGTTAAAAAGGATATGGATTTTCACACTTATTTTTTATTTTAATTTACATTTTTTTTACATATTTATATACATTTTTATTCAAACTATTATTATATGTGTATTTAATAGATTGTATAAGAGATGTAAGTAAAGGTAGAAATAGGTAAAGTTAGTGAGAGAAATGTACAGTCTAACTCGACCATTATTTGATCTAACCTAATAAAATGGTTTTAAAAAACTTATTTAATCAAATGGGATAGGTTTATATTTGTGAAAAAAAATTCATGAATACCTTTATTCATGTAGAAGTCTTAAGAAAATTCATAAATGCATTATTTTAACTAATCATTTACTAATAAGCATTGAATTATGGTGCGTATAATTAATTGCAAAATGGGATGATTCCTTAGCCCGTGCCTAAAGTTAACTTGTTTTTCTCTAACTTACATAAACGCATTTAATCCTTCACGATTTCTTCCGACTTTTCACAACATTCAACGGTTGACATTAACAGGTACCCAGAGGAACTTTATTCCTAAGAAAAATAACCAATCAATAATTTCAATTTTCCACTATTCACTTTAAACACATGAGTTCTTCTTCCTTTTTTCCATTTTAATGATACATGTTTTTGAAAAACTAAACCTACCGTATTTAAATCGCCTATAGCACGGTTGACCGTGTACAAGTGGTTTCAAATTTTTATTTTGTTATGATAGTAACTCAAGTTTTACACGGTTAATAATAGATTACTTTTCAAATATAGTAATCAAAATTTATTATTATTTTCTTCCCTGTTATAGACTATGTAGGAGTATATACTACCCCGATATATTTTTTTTAAACTTATCTTTTTCCATTCATTTTGCATTGTTCAATTTTGCTAACAAATATATTTTATTTGAAAAAAATTAAATATAATTTGAGTCTCTGCAAATATGATTTCATATGTTTATAATATTTATACACATTTGTTAATTTAAAAAAATTTCATTTTATAACAAAGATTTAATTATCTTAATTTAAAATATTAAAATTTTTAAAACTAACAATTTTCTCAAAAACACAATTAAAAACATATTTAAACCGAAATTTCATTTATAAAAAGGATCAAAATTTAACGTTTCATCCAAAATTTTATATTTTGATTAAATATCAAATTATTTACTCAATTATAATGTATTTTTTTAAATGCTAAAATTTGTTTGATTCTTTTATTTAAAAAATAGGATTAGATATTAATTTTATTTTTTAAAATAAAGGAAAAATATTTCATAACTATAATTTAAAATTTATTGTAAGCAAACAAATACATGAAAATTTTTGATAAAGTTGAAAAATAACATTTAATAATTTCATAATGAAAATGAATAATATAATTATTAATAAAGATGTAAATATCACTATTAAAAACAGAAAAATGAAAATAAAAAAGTATGTTTTATCCATTTTTAAAACTAAGATACAAAATTATTTTACAAAATAATTTATTAAATATTTTAAAAAATTTAACAATTAAAAAATATGTTTAAAATAATAAATAACTAACTTTTACATAGTTTTACTCATATTTTTTAAAATTCCATCTTGTTATTAGTACTTTATTATTAATTAATTTAGTCTTTTTTAGAATTAAGTTAAATAATCTTTCTTATCTCTATATTATTAAGTTATTAAAGAAAATATAATGTCATAATCATATTTAATGACATAATATTGAAAATATCGATATATCATATTTGAGATATAATATCAATTTTATGACAATGTCATGTTATAAATATGATCATATTATTATTATTTAATTTAAAATTACAAATATTTGTAAGATTTTTTATATTATTTAATGTCTTCTTTATTTTTAATATAATAATATTTTTATTTTATTTTATTTTCATTCTTTATACTTAGACAAGGCCTAAGAATACGAACGGAGCCAGTTAACACTTGGGTTAACTTTTTGTCTGATATTAAAAAAATTTAAAATATAATGTCAGTTTTTCTAACAACTTCTTCTAGCAAAACCGTACAGGTTACTCATCAGAAATGTTAAAGTTGAATTTTCTTGGACAAAGTCGATGTCTAGACATAGAAGTGTTGGAACGCACGCGCCGCGAGCGCGAGTTGTAAATGCAAAACCACCGAAGAAGCCAATTGTAAAACCAGATTCGTAACCAAAACCCGCGGTTCAACATTTTTCCTGAACCTTGCTTCTCAGCTCAGATCCTCAACGTCACCGATGCTCTTAACTTTTTTCCGGATTCTCTCGTCGTTTCCTTCCACAAAGCAAAGTGGGTCCCATTTCGCTAAACTCGAGGCCACCGGGTCCACCAATACTGACAACGTAATCATACGATGGCGTGGCGTCTTTTTAAATGATTTCGATGCCCTTTTCGGGATTTGTTATTTACCATTATTGTGTGCCCTACTCGAGTCATCAACTCTAGGCACCTGCATTTTCCAAAGACCACTGTTCAGTGTTCCCCTTTCACCCTTCCACTCAGATCACCCACCGCTCCTTCCCTTTCAACCACGTGGCCCATCCTGCCACACATCACTCTTCATTTTCTCCCACGTCGCTCCAACGGACACACGACACCTTTCCCTTGCTCCCTCATCCCCCTCCCCCTGATTCCTTCATTGCCAAATCACAAACAACGACGAAGGTTATAATCCTCTCCTACGCGCAACACTATTACACTCATGCCGTTGACCGCTTGACTCGCTTATGTCGCCGTTGGATCGTCCATCTTCTTCTCTTCGTCTTTCGTTTGCTTATAGTTAACTTTTAATTTTAAGTTTGTCTTTCCGGTTGCCTTTTATTTTGAAAAGAATAATAATAATAATAATAATACCAATGATAGTAGTAATGGGTTGCTTCTTCAAAAAAAAAAAAATTTCGAATTTATTTATGTCCGGTGAATAGAAAAATTTGGTTAGTTTATTATAAACTATAGAAAAACTTTATCATTTTTATATAATAATATTTTCAAAATTATATTTATGATGAATTTGTACACTTTTTTCATAAATAATACTATTTTTGAAAATATTTCCCAAAATAGCACATCCTGGAACATTATTTACACAACTAACACTCTTTCTTGTTCACGTATTAAAATAATCGATTATTTTATATTATGATCGATTATTTAGCTGCAATCAACTCTCACTCAGCGAAGAAATCTTCGACTGTGAGCAAAATTGTAACAAAGGGGTAATCTAGGGTCAATTCGCTCAAGCGAAGAAACCCTTCGCTTGAGCGAGGAAATCTGTAACAAAGGGGTAATCTCTGGTCAATTCTCGCTCAAGCGACGGGTATTTTCGCTTGAGCGAGAAGTGATTAAAATATGTGGTGACCCAAGTTGCGTTATGTGGCTAACTGCGTTGGACGTTTAGCCCATGGTCAATTCTCGTTCAAGCGATGAGTTACTTCGCTCGAGCGAGAATTGATTGGGTAACTGCGTTTGACCGTGGTCAATTCTCGCTCAAGCGAGACATCCATCGTTTGAGCGAAGAAATTTATAATTGATTATAATTTGAACTAATCGATCATAATTTAAAATAATCGAATATTTCTCTCTCGCTCAAGCGAAGAAACTTCGCTTAAGCGAGGAGACCTGTAACAAATGGGTAATCTCGGGTCAATTCTCGCTCAAGCGACGGGTACTTTCGCTTGAGCGAGAAGTGATTGAAATATGTGGTGACCCAAGTTGCATTATGTGGTTAACTGCATTGGACGTTTAACTTGTGGTCAATTCTCGCTCAAGCTTCCAGATACCCATAATATGTAAAGAAACAAAGAAAAGAAACTAGAACAATCAAACCCAGATTATGCGGCTCCTGCAGAATGAGTTTCTTCAAAACTTTCCACAAAACTTTCTAAGTTATTTTAACTGATAACAACAAGTTTTAATCGATTAAAACAGTTAGCAAAAAGTTCCTTAAATAACCTTTGACTTCATCAAACCCACAAGATCTTTGTTTTATCAAATGATTCAATAAGATCTTCATCACTTTCAATTAATTGAAAAACTCCTAAGTTTCATACATTAAGACATTTCTTAACTAACACAATCTAATGATGCGAAGTAGATGCACGTGCAACATGGGGACATGTTCTTCTGCTATGACCAGGGGTATGACAATATGAACATTTTTTAATCCTACTTTGATTTTCTGTAATGTCCATCTCAGTTCTTATACGACTTGATTTTGGTCGGCCCTTTGAAGTTCTTTTCATTTCTGGATTTGCACACAAAGTAGGTCCTGTGTATGTTGGCCAATATTTTTCATTTCGCAATAACCCAAATTGTGTTCCGTATACCTTTGAAACTTGTTGTAAGGTATACACTGAATTAATATAGTTGTTGAAGTCATGGTGTGCATGCTTGCATGCAGCAAGAACATGTGAACAAGGCATGTGAAATTTTTGGAATTTCCCACAGTCACACCATAACTCATCAAGGTGAACTGCAAACTTCCCTGCTGGTCGAACTTCACGCGGGTTTTGTGTTTCTTCTACTACAAATTTTGTGGTAGACCTGTCAAAAGTTATGACCCTATGCGTGTTTGCCTGTGTTTGTGCTTCCTCTAAATTTGTGACCAAAATTTCAGAGTATACATGACCAGCATTGATCATGGCATCTATCTGCCTCCCTCTTTCAATGAAAAATTTGTTGCAGCGGGTGTACGTTGCGTTGACCATGGAGCAAATAGGTAGATTTCTTGTTTTTTTCAAAACAGAGTTGATAGACTCTGCTATGTTGGTCGTCATGTGGCCCCAACGTCGTCCATTGTCCCATGCAAGTGCCCATTTTTCTCTAGGTATCTCATCCAACCAATTAGCTGCTTTTATGTCACATTGCCTCAAGATGTTGTAATAATAGTAGAATCGTGGTTCAGTCATCCCATACGCTACAACAATATTAAAAAAACATAGTTAATATAAATATTTATTAGCAACAATTAAATAATGAATAAATTGTAACAAATTTGAAGCAAAGGAATTACCCATATTTACAACATCTTTCCTCAGTGCGGTGTTTTTGAAACGTCTCATAAAATTCTGTGCAATGTGTCTAATGCAGTAGACATGCATTGAATTATTTTCTGTCCATCCGCTTCCATTTCTCATGTATGCACTTCTAATGGATTCATGTCGGTCTGATATGAGGCATAATCCTTGCTGGGGTGTGACATATCTTTGAAGGTTTTTTAAGAAAAAAAAACTAGGCATCATTTGTTTCACCTTCAACCACTGCAAATGCAATGGGGAGGATGTTGTTGCGGTCATCTTGTGCTACTGCAACCAACAAGGTACATCTATATTTTCCATACAAAAAAATTCCGTCCACTTGAACAATGGGCTTGCAGTGAACAAATCCATCTATGCATGACCTAAACGACCAAAACACACGTTTAAAAATATTTGAATTTTGTTGAAGGACTTCACCTTGGTAAGCTGGTTGTGACTGCAGTTTGTAGATGAATCCGGGAACAAATTGTTGCATGGCTTGTAACAAACAAGACAACTTCTTATACGAATCCTCCCAATTGCCGTAGATGATCTCCACTGCCTTTTGTTTGGCCAACCAGGCCTTCCTGTATGTTATAGTGTAACCCGTTGTTAATTGGATGTGGGCTATGATTGTGAAGATTGGTGTTGACGAATCAGCATCAATTATTTGACCAATTGTTTGGGAAATTATTTTATATCCCAACTTATTGTGGTCTTGGCTGATTAATGGCGAAACGCATGTATGGTGCCCTTCAAGCTTCATAATCTCCCAATATTGCTCTCTTGTGCGCAATATTGCTCGACATCTCCAATTGCATTGGTTATCAACACATTCAACAACATATCTACTTTGGTTTGAAATTTTCACCTTGTATGTGCAGTGATTGACAATGTGAAAGCAGTTGATGACATCTTGAACTTGTTCTTTTGTTATGAAACGTTGTCCAAGAAATAGAGTTCCTGTCGGAAAAACAAAAGACTCTCTGTCCAACGCATGACCATACTCTGGGTCTTGTTGTTGAATGTGATTTTCAAAGTTAAGAAAATGTTGTGGTGGGTTGTATGGTTCCATGAAGTTTGGTGCATGTGTAGGGATATGTGGTTGTTCGTCCTCTGAATCATCTTGGTGTTGGCTGAGAATTTCATCTTCGTCTTCATTCTTACTAAAAGGATCAACGACTTCAATTGGGAGACCAACAATTTTGTTCTCTTGTGTGGGTAGTTCTTCGTTGATGTTGGTGGAAGGTCCACTTAGAAGTTGGGTAAAAAGGATGTAGTCATTATGTGTGGGTATTTCTGGGTCAGTGTTTGGGAAAGCTTGGTAGGGTAAGGGTGAAATTTCTGGTGAGTGTGTGTTGGGGTATGAAGAAGAAGAAGTTTTAAATGAAACAAAAATTTCAATACCACATAGACTTGAGTTTGAATCATGAACATCGAACATGACCTCCACGTCGTCATCATCTTTCAACTCAACAGCAATGAAGTTGTTGATCCCAACTCCGAATCTAGTTGGGCAGCGAAAATGGATGGTTGCTATATTTTCGTGGGGTTCTTTCTCCAATTTCTTGTGGATCAACTTCTTCAACCTTTGTAGAGAAATTCCTCTCTTTAAAGGAATAAGTTTTGCAGTCCCAGTATTGAAGGTAACTCCCTCCATGGGACATGGGTTCATGAAACTATCATAGTGGACAATAGTAGACACTACACCCATTTTAGGAGTGTGGAACACAAAGAAGACTAAAGGTAAGAAGAAGAAATAATGCAAAAAGCTTCAGAGATTTAGGAGTGTGCAATGTGAGAACTTCAAAGAATGAAAGTGGTCTATTTATAATGAAGTTCATTGGTTTGAATCCAATGCTCCCTCACATGGTTTCTGACGCACACAAAATCCAAGCAAAGTGGGTGGGTCAACATCTCTTTAAATATGTTTGGATTCTTCTGCTTTTATCTAACTCAATGCAGGGAATCCAAGATTGGAATCCTAACTTAGGTGGGTAACTCATCATTTGATTCTTTACTTGTGTGCATCGAAAAGACATGGGAATCCTGACTTGGGTGGGTGACTCGACGATTGTAAATAGTTGCGAGGTTTCCTCGTTCAAGCGATGGGTTTCTCGCTGTAGCGAGAATTGACCACAGGCTAAACGTCCAACGCAGCTTAGCTACATAACGCAACTTGGGTCACCACATATTTTAATCACTTCTCACTCAGCGAAAATACCACGATCGCCTGAGTGAGAGTCGACCGGAGATTACCCCTTTGTTCAGATTTTCTCGCTCAGCGAAGGGTTTCTTCACTTGAGCGAGAATTGACCTGAGATTATCCCTTTGTTACTGATTTTCTCGCTAAGTCGAATGGTTTCTTGGCCACGGCGAGATGATCATGCAAATAATTGATCATAATATAAAATAATCAATTATTTTAATACGTGAACGATAAAAAGTGTTAGTTGTGTAAATAATGTTCAGGAAGTGCTATTTTGGGAAATATTTAAAAAAATAGTATTATTTATAAAAAAATTCGAATTTGTAAGCCCAGACCGAACAATTATAAAAGTGAAATATTTTGATTGATTGAAGCGTCCCATCTGAATTCTAAGCAATGAAAATTACAGAAGAATTAGCGAGGGCGAGCTCCGACCAAGTCTTGAATGATGAATGACTAATTACTACACTGATTAGAAAACAACAAAATACAGGTAATAAAAATGTAAAATATATAGCTGAAAAGAAATATATATTTTTTAAATTTATTAAATTTAAAAAAATTTA